GATCGACACGGAGTGCGCTGTACCGAATGAGCCTTTCCCTCGGCGATGGAGGAGGGAAGCCCACTCTGGAGAGGTGGATAGGTCCCGAGCTTTAAGGACAGCAGCGACGATCCCAGGGCTGTGCGATTCAACGATCCCTTCGTAAGCTCCGCTGCCATATCTGCGGACGGCGAGTTCCTCTACGTGGCTGACCGCTCCAATTCTGTGATCAGACGGGTGAGAACTGCCACTGGAGCCGTGGAGACGGTCGCCGGCAGGGGCTCTCCGGTCAGCCTGGATGCCCTTGGAACCGGTGCGCAGTTCGATCAGCCCGTTGGGCTGGCTTTAACGTCCGACGGATGCCATTTATTCGTTTCCGAGTTTGCAGGAGGACTACACCAGGTCACGTTCGGTGACCGTGACAGATGTTACTGTGTTCGCTAACCTTGACGGATGTTAGTACTGTGTTCCGTGACCGTGACAGATGTTACTGTGTTCGCTAACCTTGACAGATGTTACTGCTGACGAACACGAACACATGTTACTGTGTTCGGTGACCGTGACAGATGTTACTGCTGACGAACACGAGCACAGGACTCGAACACACAGCTCGTGGCATTGTCGAACTTGGTGGCTATTTTTTTTGCTGGTGCAAGTCTTTTTCGCCTATTTGAAACTCAAGGGTGACATAAATAAAGTTACAAACTTGCCCCCCCTTCCCCCCCCTCCTATCTTCACCCCAAACAAAAACGAATTGGACCATTTGTCAATTTATGCCTGTCGTCCTTGCGCAGGGGCCATGATGCCAATCTTCTCTCTACTTCCCCAATTTTGCCAGATGCTCGTAAACGTGTGAGAATGATTGTTAACCACTGTGTTATGTGCATCTGGTGCAGCTGATTGGAACGAGATTTCCTTGTAGGAGCAGATATACTGCTTGTGGACAGTCCTCCCTTTTTTTTTCTTCTTTTTTTTTTTAAATTGAGAACAACTGGTTGTAACCAGTCCTTAGAAACTGTCACCCTATATATTTTGCTTATTAATCTCTGACTGGATCCTGTGCCCTATCCTCTTTGAGATAACCATGTTCTGGGGGGGTTGCTAACCCTCCCCCCCCTTTGCTCCTTCCCTTAAAAACCTAACTACACCTAAAACCCCTGCACTTGGATAAGTTTCAGCATATCCTCTTCCAGCTAACCATCTGGGTTTGCTGCTCCTACCCCCTCCCCCCCCTCCCCTTAGCCCCTCCCCTTGAAACCCAACGACACCGTAAACCCCTGACCCCGGGGAGGTTTCAGGATGCCATACCATGCGAGGAAGTCTGTGATTAGTCCTGGACTCTTGGTTTCATTTCAAAATTGGGTCCTTGTTCTGGCACACAAAGGATATACATAATAGGCGGGTATAGTTTAGTGGCAAAAGTGTGATTCGTGGATAACTAGTTAAAGGTTCATACTAATTATGAAGAATTGACAAAGTTTTCTCATTTCCTTGATTTTCACAGTAAATTTCATGTACTTTTTTTTTATCTCTATCTATAGTACTTCCTTCCTGGACCTCACACAATAATTTGGTTCGCTTGCTTATCTTCAAGTTGGCTTGCACTCCAGTTGTAGGAGAGTATGGCCCATCTGAATTTGCTGAATGGTGGTTTGAATGTCCAAGGACGGTACACCCAGTTTCCAGCAAGTGAAGCCCCCCTCCTGAACCGCCGCTGAAAGGTGTTAAATCTCCCCTGACCCCCGTTGAATAAAAAGCAGGGGCACTCCCACCATTGTTTTTCCAATGGTTAGGGTCCGTGGGAGTTTGGACACATGGCCCAACACATCCGTGCCATCAAACTGAAATAACCCCCCGTTGAACTTGGTCATTTTGAAACTCAGAGTTTCAAACAATGACATGGGCGCCACTTTGTGTTTTTTTAATAATTTCAAACTGAAAAGGTGACTCAGGAGCAGTTTTCCCTAAAAAGTTTCAAGCTTTCCCAAAAAAAAGAAAAAAAACACTCTATATTATGTCGGACAGAGTAGCCGGGCGAGTGAGTGTAGCAGTGATACTCACCGCCAATCTCAGCAGGGCTGCAGGGGTGAATAGTGCAGGGAGGCTCTATGAGGACATACTGACACTACTAGGACCTCATATTTGGAAAATCTGCATCCTTTTTTATCTCTATTTTGCACATAAGCACATCGGGCAAGTCACACAGGCATTTCATTTTGGATGAGACCAGGCTGATTTTTTCGGATTGGAATTATGTGGGTGGTTGGTTGATGTCAGGAGACTCAGGAATCAGGATTGAAGTTGCTCATGAATTTAGCATTCATAGCATTTTCAAAAAAACGGGGAAAGAAATCAGCAGTAATCATCAGCAATCATGAGCAAGCATGGATAGCTTGAGCTTCTACTGGTACGGGATGCAGGATTTCAGTAGCGGTAGAGGCTCATCTGATGCCAGATGAAGCTGCGATGTTTAGCGGTCTAGCCCGTTTTTTTGGGGGGGGGGTAACTTCAGCCCTGTCAGGAAAACAGTTTGTAATTGCAGTTCAGGCAATCCCGCGAATACAACACACCCCCTCGCGACCCCACCGGACCCGAAACGTAGGTCATATACATTCAGCATTACCGGCCCTTTTGCCTCAAGTGCAATTACAAAGTCAAACCCTGACTGCGCCGCAGTTTTCTCTTTTTTTTTTTTTAAGTGGCACGAATGTAGCGGTGGCCTTTTTTGCCCTCAGTTGTTTCGAGAACTGCTAATTTAAGTTGCCTATTTGAAACGCTAGGTGTGATCCAGGAGCCGTTGCCCCAACCTTTCATAACTCAGAGGAACAACGGGCTCCAAAATCTCCACCACCAACCTGCAACAGAACAACAAAACTGATGCTGAGGCCATTACTCAGCTTAGCCTACCCGAAACCGGGTCCACTGTCCCTGAGCTCCACAATGCTCTTCAAAGACAAGAAAAAGGGGGAAAAGAGTAAACAAAAAAGCCTCAAGTCCGTAACTTTCTACAGGGTGCGGGGGTGGGGGTTCCCCTTTTTCTTACAGAGGTCTACGTTGAGCGAAAATTGGGCTATGGTGGGATACTGCATCCTTCAGGTTCCCCAAAACAGATTGGTTTCAGCAGACAGGGGAAGCAGTAGATTTCTCCCTCTGCGCTGCTGACAGTGCTGAGTGATGCCAGCCTGGAGTTCCTTCCCCAATCATGAATCAATGATGTATTGTAAACCATATAATTCTGCCCTTGCTGTGTTTCCCTTTTGCAAATTTGCTGAGTAACGTAACTGTCCAGCCGTTATTAATAGCCGTTCTGATCATTTTGGCCACCTAAGTTTGCCTTGATAGCTGCATCTGAGAATCTGAGATGTGAGCGCCGAGCCTTCTTAAAAAGTTGACCGTTGATCATTACGGTCATCCCAGATGACCTAAGTTCATCAAAATTGCCCTTGTGGCCTGTGCAAACATGTCCTCCCAGGCCCGCAGGCTTATTACTCGCCCCCTAACAGAATTGCCTGGCCTGGAACAGGGCCGGTGGTGGTGGGTCCTCACCTGCAGTCACCATGTGGGGTGAGTGAATCCCAAACCCCCATTGTGTGCGCTGGACGCTGGTGTGGACACTCACTCGCTAGAAGGTGGCAAAAACTGCATGAACCCAGACGCTATTCCAGGCTGATTCTTGCGAGTGACCTCCCCAGCTCTGCTCATCACTCACGGCAGAGCACAGGTCTAGACTCACAAGCCCATACCCACACCCAGACCCAGGTCTCACCCCAGGGCACAGGTCTGGACTCATAAGCCCATGCCCACGCCCAGGCCCAGGTCCAGGATTCAGGTGCACACCTCTTCTGTTTTTTTGGTACTTTTTGGAAATCAAAAGGCCCAGGCCCAGGCCCAGGATTCAGGTGCGAGGCCCAGGTCCAGGGCTTAACATTTTTTTTTTTCCTCCCGAAAATGCACAGGCCCAGGCCCAGGCGCAGATGGGATCCGGGTGCAAGGCCAAGACCCACGCCCAAGCCCAGATGTAGGAGGTCTTTTTTTTTTTCTTGAAAATTAATGAACAGGCCCAGGTTCAGGCCGAAGCACAGATTCTAGGCCAGATTCAGGTGAAGACACAAGTCAACCATGTATTCATGTGATCGAACAGACACACAGAGAGACCACATTTAGGCCTAACACACAGGCCCAGCCCCATGCCCAGGCCCAAGTCCAGGATTCAGGCCGGGGCCTTTTTTTTGTTATCTTTTTTTGTACTTCTCGCTTAGGCCTATTTTTGTTTTTTGTTTTTTTTGGAAGCGCAGAGGCCCAGGCCCAGACCTTGGCCCACGTTGAGGATCAGATCCGGACCCAGACACAGGCTTACACAGTCCCAGAAATAGGCCCAGAGAATATATTGTTAACGTTTAAATCTTTAAGAAATGCGCATAAATGCAATCCGTAAATGATACATGTATATTTTTTTGCTTTGTGAAAGTAGTTGTTGGTTGGGTCTTGTATGTGGTGAAGTAAGATACGGGTCCAATCCCCTTCCCCCCGCAACTTGGAAAAAAAAAAGAAGAATGTATATTCATAGCTTTCTAGAATACATTGTTCTATGGGCCTCGTTTGACACTCCTCGGGGCCCGAAATTCCCCAAGGAAATGCTCGTTCCACTCATCCTCGGGGAAGACGCAGAAAAGAAAATGTGAAAACATTTCCTCGGGGATTCCTCGGGGATTCCTCGGGGCCACAGCCATTTTGGCGATTTCTCCAAGGGACCTCCCGAGGTCACTCGGAGGTCGAGCTTCCGGAAGAATCGGGGCGTCGACGGCAGCTCCTTCGACGACATTTTTCAATTCCGTCTGGTCTATCGGTGGTCCTGCCTGCGTCTCCATGGACATGTTCGGTCGCCAACGTTCGGCTTCACTCCAACGGTTACCGTTTGTGGCCAACCGGCATCCCCGACGTCCAGAAGGTGCCGTCTTGCGTCGTCGCATTTGGCAATCCACGGGAATGTCCCAACGGTCGGCAGATACGAATATTTCAGGCCGCACTCCAGCTGCGAACACGGCCAACCTCACTGCGCAATCATCCACTCCGCTAACGCTAACGCGTCCCTCAATATCAGCGCATCCCCCGTCAAAGACTCCATGCACACTGGCCTCAATGGCTGATGCATCCCCAGATCCACTGGACGACGCACGCCGTCTGGACCCACCTCCCACAGCAGATTGTCGTCAAACGGGACGCCGGCGTCGATGAGTATGTTGTGGAGGATGCAGACGGCGACGAATTGTTGTGGCAAGCTGTCCATGTTGCACTTGTGGGTGCGGAGGAACAACCTCCACATCCCCTTCAGTCTGCCAAACGCCCTCTCCAGTGCTCCCCTGGCCGTCTTCTGTTTGTTGTCAAAGCGTGCCTCCGTCGGGTGTTGCGCGAGACCGCCGTAAGGGACGACTATCCATCCCGACTGCGGATAACCGTTATCCCGACTGCGGATAACCGTTGTCCCCGAGCAAGTAGCCATTAGTCCGCACACCGAAAGGCAGCATCACATGCGGCCCAGTGAAAAGTTGTCCTGACTCCGCGCGCACCCACAAACTCGACAGGTTCAGCATCCTCATGTCATGCACACTCTCCAGATAACCGACGAAGACGTCCAGCACACGCAAGTTCATGTCGACCACCACTTGCGCCTACATGAAGAATCGGCGTCTCCTGTCGCAGTAGTCCTCACCGTTGGCGTTCGCGGGTTTGTCGATGTAGATATGTGTGCAGTCGATGCACCCATGGCAGTTTGGAAACCCCTTGTCCACGAAGGCGCGCAACACGACCGCCTTCTGCAAACCTGTGGGCCATGATATCTTGTCGAAGCAGTCAGCAACGCCGCCGTGACGTCACGCACCGCCGTGATGTCGGAAGCCCTCCCGATGCCGAAGCTACACGTCCCGCTATCGTACGTCTCCCCTGTGGCCCACCTGTACAGTGCATAGGCAATGATGTGGTCTGGCTGCAAAGGCACCCTGTAGAACGTCACACGGCGTTGAAGGAGTGGGGAAAGAGTCTCCGCGATCTTGCGGAAAACACGAGGCGACATTCGAAGCTTCTCCTTGAAGTAAACATCCGTTGCGTCATCACATTGCCGCATATCCTCCCATGTACCGCCCGTTCGCCGCTTCACCCACCACCGTTGAGTCGCCCGTGGAAACCCCCCGCACCCATCGCGTAGCAGACCTCCAGCTCCGCGTCGGAAATGGCAGCCACATCCAAGCATTGCCCAGTCATCGGAAGCGCCAAAAGCTTGCGCCGTGCACGAACAGCCGCTTTGAAGTTCGCGTCATTGCTCGCCATCTGGCAGCGGACGACGACGGCATTAACCACCGTAGCAATAGATGTCCTCTCCGTCGTCGTCAAACCGTCGCGCCCTGCCCCGCCGTCAACGTCCATCCCAGACGTCGCTTCCGATGACATCACGTCAATCAAACCACTAGACTCCACAAACACCGCCACGCGGAAGATCACAGCGTCGGTGGCTGTGCAATATCTTGGGAGCCACGCACTAACGATGGTCGTCTGCCTTTCCCAACGCTCACGTATCGATGTTGTCTCACTTGCCTCCAACGCGTAGACAACCATGCTCATCGATGACAACCGCACGGGACAATCGTCACTTATGCGAACGCCACGAATGCCAGCCGCAGACGGAAACAAGCGTGAAACGTACATCCTCCACGCGCCGCCGATCGCAAAGCCTGATTTCAAATTTCAAATTTTGAACAGGAGCGCTGCGCGCCATTTCCAAGGGCCCCGGTTTTGTTTTTTTCTCGTTTCCCGCCCTCCTTCGAATTCGCGACGGCCAACAAAGGTGGACCACCGCCGTTCGCACGGACACAACTCGGTGGACCACCGTCAGCCCCGCCCCCGCGTCTGCTTGTGCATATATAAATCGGGGCCGTGGGAGCCCCAGGGAATCGTCCTTGGGGGTCGACCTCGAGGATGAGTGGAACGAAGGCGACAATTTCCTCGGGCGACTCCGAGGAATCGTCCTCAGGGCCCGAGGACGCCCCGAGGAGTGTCGAACGAGCCCCTATGTGACTGTTCGAACGCGCGTTTGAACGTCCGCGTTCGAACGACCGTGGGCCGTGTTCTTACGCACTGTGCGCCACATGGCGCGTATCTGTTGAACGCGACCCACCCTGCCATGTGAGCGCATGTCGGACTACGGGTGGGGGGAATTGGTTCTTCAAAAAAAAAAAAAAAAAAAAAAGTGTGGCAGTGTATATTTCCATGTACTAGCGGTAGATTCATTCGATTTTGCTCATCAGATCTAATTCAATAGAATTACCATGAGGTCGGCCGCGCTGTTGAAGACTTACCTGCTGTCTATGTATCCCCAGAGACCGCGGCCGCAGGTCCGCGGTCATGACCGCGGCCCACCGCGGCCGAGGGGAGAGGGGGTTGGGGGAGGGGGTTTCGGATTGGGGTTCCGGAACCCTGACACTACCCCGTCGAACAAAAAAAAGTTTAAAAAAATAATTTTCGGGGGGGTGTTTTTTTGATTGATTGATTGATTGATTGGTAGGGGAGGTCCTCCCTACCCTCCCCCCAGCACACACACACACACACACACACACACACACACACACA